ACAACATTAGCACTCACCACCCATCCGACCAATGCAACTTCTACCATTTCTACACTCAACCATTCCATACACTCAACCTCCCTCAAAACCGCAACTCCATTCCACCATTTCACCTCAGACCACAACAACGGACCATCTCATTCCCTTACCTCGTGAGTATCGACCAAGAGGAGAGAGAGCTGCTGCTGCAACCGAGAGTAAGGAAAAGAAAGCCGAGTTGTAGTTCTCTGTTCTATCCGTGAGCTGAGGGAAGAAACCAGGAGACCACCGTGTGAGTTCTTTCTGGACCTTCACCTCCACCAGCTGCAACCATTTCATCAGTCCAACCGCAACACCGTTTCAGCTGCAACCAGAAAACCAGAACCAAACCTGTGCGTGAGCCGAGAGAAATTTTACAGTTCCCTTGTGCGTAAGCTAAGCCTGCTGTTGAGGTAAATTTCGGATCTAGAACACCTGATTAGAGGTTGCTTGAGCTAATTAGGAGCATGCATGTTGAATTTATGCGTTGGATGATGATCTAGAAAAGAAAAGAAACCTGATGTACGCTGAATGTGGGTTTGCCGAGAATGTGTTGGATTAATGCCGAGCTAATCTGTGTAACCCTGGATAATCTGAGTTTGCATTGTTGATTAAGTAACTAATCACTAACTAATTAAACTGTTTAAAGCTTTGCATGTTGACCTTAGACCATCGGATGCTGAATTTAGAGAAGAAGAAAAATTTTCTGATGTGCGCACATTTGGACTGCCGAGACTGATTAAGAAATGCTGTGTTTAATTTGTTTAAATTCAACAATCTGAGGTTATAATCTTAATTATCCAAGTGAAGATAAAATGTTTAAGGACATGCATGTTGAATTATGCGATTGGACGATGGAATTAGGAACTTGGGAAAATTCTGATTTAGTGAAATGGAAATTTTGTGAACCAGAAATCTGAAATGCAGTTGTAATCTGCTTAAATTTGATAATCTGAACCTGTATTGGGGATTATACGACTAATCACTAGTTGATTTACCTGACTATGGCTTTTCATGTTAATTTTGTGCATTCGGATGATGAGCTAAGGAGCATAAGAAATTCTGTTTTGATGAAATGGAACTTCCGTGAGCATAAATTGGAAATGTAGTTCCTAATCTTCTATATTGTGATGATCTAAGTTGATACTTATGACTATCTAGCTAACAACATGATGATTGAGGCGTGCATGGGGCTAAGTAGCTCGGCTAACCAAGAAAATAAAAATGAAATGAAATCAATTTGCATTCATGATCATTCGAGGATAGCTGGGAAATTTCTGGAATTTTGGGGATAATTACAACCGTGTTTGAACTTAATTCTGAGCTAGAAATGTTACTCAATTGGTCAAGCATCTGCATGAGGAATTTGAGCACTTAAAACACTGGTTTAGCCGAAAGAAAAGCTAGATTATAACCACGCAAGTGCTGAAAAATAAATGATCATTGGCTATGAAAGTGAATCTGGAAACTGTGACGTTATAATTAGTGTTCACGCTTGATCTTCGAGCTGGAAATGTTAGTTGTCTAGCCAAGTAATTGCATACTGAATTTGAGAGCCTAATAGCATTTTTAACCGAGGAAAGGTTGGATTTATGAACATTGAAGTGCTGGAAATATTAATGACCGAGAGGCTGAGCAGAAATTCTTCATTTGATTTCTGGAATTTCCCCTTGGAATGTAATGGTTTAGAAATGCATGAGAGATGTGTATTTTAAGCAGTGTAAGTTGTTTAGCTATGAAACATTTGATATTTTGGAGGATTTAATAAAAAATGTTGAAATGGAATTCGTGATAGTTTGGAATGACAATTGCTGGAAAATGGTCAAGTTATCCTTGTTTTTGAACAATTAAAGTTTGGTTGAAATGTTGGCTATATTACTATAAGAAATGATTGTTGGACGCTAAGGGTTAATGCTTGATGGAACCCTTGGCTATTTGAGTAAACTTTACGTGCATTACGGTTTTGATAAAATTATTTACTGGGATTTTTCTTGACTATCGAAACAAGAAAAGGAAAATTTGAACTCTTAGAGTCATTTGAAACTCAAGCTGGATATAGTTCTCTTCTTGTCTTGAATGGAGTTGTGATTTAAATTGAGTATTTGATGTCAAGAGCTAATGATTGATGAAGCTCTTGGCCATTTGAATGATTTTATATAAGTGTCAAAGTTGATGAAATTTAACTGCTGGAATTGCTTGGAGGCCTTATGTTTATTTTGATTAAGTTGAGATGTGATATGAGCTTGCCAAAACCAAGAGCTAATGATTGACGAAGCCTTGGTCACTTGTTTTACTTTTCTAGCAGAAATGAATCTGTTGAAATCTAGGGCTAATGATTGAAGAAGCCCTAGTGATTTGCTATTTGAAACGTGATCTTACCATGTCGACAAATTTGAGTCATAATGTGATTTCGAAATGGAATCGAAATTGTGAAAGTCGTTTCGACCCTGTGAACTCGAGCAATTTTGATCAAGCTAATCAAAAATATTTTTTATGCTAGAATTAAACGATAAATCTTGCCTTATTTCTTTTTCTTTCTTTAAGACTTGTCCTTAGCTAGTTGTCTATAGGAAAAGTTCCAAAAATGCGAGTTTTCACTAACTTTAACTAAAAATGTAGAAGACTTGTTCGGCAAGAAACCTTATTTCACGCAAAATAATCCTAGTAGCATTTTTACAAGAAAAGGGAACTTCAAGGAAACTTTACAAAGTATTTTTCTAGTTTTAATGTTAAACGGATTGTCGACTCATTTCAAGAAAATAAACTAGGTATACATACGAGTAATTTTCCTACGTAACCCTAAAAATGGTTTAGCCACCTTATAGTTTCAAAACTTGGTATTATTTTAGGATATCGCGAGGACGCGGAATTTGATCCTCAACTTGACATCTGAACTTCACTCTTGGTGAGTGTCCCTGCTTGTTCTATGCCTACTTGATTAAAGTGCTTTCTTGACTTGATATGTGATAATTGGATAATGATTTTCTGATCCATCGAAGTGAGCGGTGTGTACTTTATCACACTAACCTTTCGAGTGGTGACTTGTGTGAAATATTTTAATGAATCCAAGTGTGGTGACGTCGCTGGGTGAATCCCTCGACCAATTTCCTGAGGGTATACGCAAGTATACTGCTCCCAATTTCCTGAGGGTATACGCAAGTATAATGCTCCCAATTTCCTAAGGGTATATCTCGAGTATACTGCTTCCTTTATTTGTCATGCGGGCCCGGAGCTGGGGTATGTTTGGTGGCCGGAGTAAGAAAAATAAGAGAATCTACATGGACCGTAAGTAGTGAGAGTTGACGGAGGGTCAACTACGATAACTTTTGATCAAGCGAGGCAAATGGCTCCTGAGAGCCCTGTATCCTACCTTGTGCTGTTATCTGTTTTCCTTAAGTGTGAAGTTTAAATACTCATTCCTTGCCTTATGTGATTGCATGTTTTGGGGCACCACTGAGCTTTAGCTCACCCCACGTTCATTTGTTTTCCTTACAGATTGTGAAGTTTGAAAGAATTTGAGCTGCTTATATTTTCTATGAGTGTACTTGAACAACTTGAATTTAGATTGCGGTTTGTAATGAATTCCAAGTTAAGCATTGTATCTTTTATTTTGGATTGCCACTTGAAGCTGGAAAAGTGTAACCCTAATTCTGATATTTGGTATGTATGTTTGTATTTGTGTGGTATGGCTTTAATCCTTGTAAGTAACGCGTGAAGTGTTTAAGAGCCGTCGATTGGCTAACTTCGAATGCTGTTATCTTTGAAGTTAATGTGGTGTTAGCAATCGATTTATTTTGGAAGATTCTCTGTTGTAATAGCTTAGGTTAATCTTCGGAAGGATTTGGGGTTAGTGTGCTTGCGTGAGTCCTGGCGAGAGTTAGGCAGACGGCCCGCCAACCCTCTGGTTCGCCTTAGGGGGAAGTGGGGTCGCCACAGGTGGTATCAGAGCCTAGGTTAGAAAAGTTATCTGAGAGATATATTAGACGAGTTAGAAACCCTAATCCTTTTCAGAAGTAAGAACTGAGACCATTAGATATATCTTAAGTAATAACCGGTTCAGTTAGTTATCTAAGTTCTAACCTCTAAGTTTTAATTCTCTTGCAAGTATGGAGAATGGTAATGGGCATGCTAATGGTAATGGAGCATCTAATGGACATATAGAGCCTCTTAGGTCCATTTCCTATAGGCCACGAGGCGGAGGAGCTCATATACGCTACTCACCAGTTGATAGGCATCCCCGAAGTCAGTGTAGGGCCACCCATGCCTACCCCAATGAGCTAGTACTATCCCTAGATGATGAGCGTCGCCAGTTGAGGGACGCTAACTTTACTTTGACCCAGGATGTAGAGGAGCTGAGTATCATGGTGGACACTCAGTTTGACCGTATAGCTGAGTTAGAGCAGAGGGTAGCAGCTGAGCATGCTAGGCTGGAGGCTGCTCGCGTGGAGATAGTGTGACAGAGATCGAGGGTAACTCGATTGGCCGAGGGGATACGTGATAGGAGTGCCGGTATCAGGGCTGATGCCGTGATGATGATAGATGAGGCCACGAGCATCCTTCAGGGCGTCGAGCAGGAGGATCCGGAGGAGGATCCGGCAGAGGACGCTTCTCCTGACAGCCCTGCTGAGGGTTAGGCTGGGTTTGACTTGACTATACTAGATATGTAGGGTTCGGAAAGGGGGACATTAGTTAAGTCATCAAGTTTTGTCTAGGTGGATGACTTGCTTCCGAGGCACCATATCCCTAATTTTTGTTTTAGGGATTATTTGTATGTATTTTGTTAGCTCATGTGCCTTATTTTTGGAAAATGTCCCAACCTGTTATCCGTATGACTTTCACACATGAATATATGCTAAGTGCTTTATTTTCCTTTTTCCCCCATTTCCAAGTTGATTTTTAGTAACAAAGAGAATAATAATAGTTATAAATAAATAATCAACTCCCCTAATTGCCTCACTTTTCATAATAGGCATAATTAAGCTATGGACCGCCAAGTGATAGGAAGGGGACGCGGGAGACCCACTAGACAACACCCAGAAGCGGGTAGTGGTAGGGAACCCGAGGTCAATCCAGACCAAGGGCAAGGGGGAGTGGCCGGAGACCAAGTGGCCACTGCAATCAATCGTATCACTGATGTCTTAGAGCGCTTGACTGAACACCAAGCCTCTGGACCAGTGCATCACCAAGGAGGTCCAGCCGATTCTGATGATCGGGCACTGGAGAGATTTCTGAAGTTTAGACCTCCCAAATTTTATGGAGGACCCGAACCGGAGGTAGTTGAAGGATGGTGGGAGAGAATCTCCGATATCTTTGCAGCCTTAAACTATGCGGAAGAGCGACAAGTGACTTTTGCCGCATTCCAGTTTGAGGGAGCTGCTCGCTCCTGGTGGAACCTGGTAAGGGGTAACTGGGACAGGAACAATACTCCAAGAACCTGGGCGAACTTCACAAGGGAGTTCAATGCCAAATTTCTTCCACCTCTCATTCAAGAGAAGAGAGATGACGACTTCATAAAATGTAAGCAAGGGGCGATGAGTGTCGCCGAATATGAAGTCCAGTTTACAAAACTGTCCCGCTTTGCTCCTGAATTGATAGCCACGGAGCAAAGGCGTGTCCGGAGGTTTGTGCAGGGACTGAATGTGGAAATACAGGAAGGTTTAGCTGCCGTGAGGATAGACACTTTTGCAGATGCCGTCGAGAGAGCCCAGAGAGTTGAAGTAGCTAGAGCCCAAGTGAAATCCTTTCAGGCCAAGAAAAGATTTGCTCCTAGTAGTAGTCGGGAGCCGACGTATGGAAATGCTCCACCGGCCAAAGTGGGCCGAGGAACCGGCGGAATGACTAGTTCTGGAGCACCACGAGGCGCACTAGCAAGAGAAACCGGGACAAGGAATGCAGGGGGAAGAAATAATGGAGCTAGAAGAGGATCGAATGGAAGGGGACAACCTAGGAATACCTCGCTAGGAGGTCGAGCAATAATTCCTCAAGTGACTTGTGTATATTGTAAGAAATCGGGCCATACTATGGATGATTGCTGGAGGAAGCAAGGAAAGTGCTTAAAGTGCGGAAGTAATGAGCACCAAATTTCGGGATGTCCAAAAGTGCAGGAAGGGACTACTCCGAACGCTAGACCAAACACTTCTGGAGGGAGCCGGCCAACCGTTCCTGCCAGAGTGTATGCTATGGATGACCAACCTGTACCCGATTCCTCGGAAGTTGTGGAAGGTACACTTCTGATTTTTCATCGATTAGCTAAAGTGTTAATTAACCCTAGTGCAACTCATTCATTCGTAAATCCCACTTTTATGTCTGGAATCGACGTGAAACCTGTTAGATTACCCTTTGATCTTGAAGTTAGGACACCAATGGGTAATAAGAATGTAATCACTAGCTTAGCCTATAAGAATTGCGAATTTTGGATCGGAGAGCGAAAAATGCTAGTGGATTTAATCAGTTTGGGCATAAGGGGTTATGATGTTATCATAGGAATGGATTTCCTAGGCCACCATCATGCTAAGCTTGATTACCGAGCGAAAGTGGTAGAATTTTGTATACCTGGAGAAGCAACCCTGAGGTTAGATGTTAAAGGTAGGTTAGCATCGTCCGCAATGATCTCAGGAATTCGGGCACGGAAAATGTTGTTTAAAGGAGCGCAAGATTTTTTAGCCTTTTTGATTAATGCTCCCAGTGATCAAGTGAGGTTAGAAGATGTACCAGTGGTACGGGAATTTCCGGATGTTTTTCCCGAAGAACTAAAGAATTTACCGCCAGAGAGAGAAGTGGAGTTCAAGATTGACTTGGTGCCAGGAACGGCTCCGATTTCTAAAACTCCGTACCGAATGGCTCCTGCCGAGCTAAAAGAGTTAAAAGTCCAATTGCAGGACCTGTTGGAGAAAGGTTTTGTGAAGGAGAGTGATTCACCCTGGGGAGCACCCGTTCTATTTGTCAAGAAAAAGGATGGAAGCTTGAGGTTATGTATCGATTACCGAGGGTTAAATGAGGTTACAATTAAGAATAAATACCCTCAACCATTGATTGATAGTCTGTTTGACCAACTGCAAGGGTCAGTAGTTTTCTCTAAGCTGGACTTGAGGCAAGGGTATTATCAGTTAAAGATTAAGAAGGAGGATATACCCAAGACTGCTTTTAGTACAAGATATGGACATTTTGAGTTTGCAGTCATGCCTTTTGGACTAACCAACGCACCAGCTGCTTTTATGGATTTGATGCAGAGAATTTTTAAGAAGTATCTAGACCAGTTTGTAGTGGTTTTCATAGATGATATCCTGATTTACTCCAAGACTCGAGAGGAACATGTTAAGCACTTGGAGGTGGTTTTGCAGATAGTAAGAGAACATAAACTGTATGCCAAATTCAGTAAGTGTGAGTTTTGGCTGGATGAAATTTCTTTTCTAGGGCACAGAGTTTCTAAAGATGGAATTGTCGTGGATCCGGCAAAAGTTGAGGCCGTTATGAATTGGAAACAGCCAGAAACTCCAACTCAAGTTAGAAGTTTCTTGGGATTAGCAGGTTATTATAGGCGGTTTATCCAGGATTTCTCGAAGATTGTTGGACCTATGACCGAGCTAACCAAGAAAGGGAAAAAGTTTATTTGGACTCCAAAGTGCGAGTCAAGTTTTCAGGAGTTAAAGAAGCGATTAACATCTGCTCCTATTTTGGTATTACCTGACGGAGGGAAAGGTTATACCGTGTACTCTGATGCCTCTAAAGAAGGTCTAGGGTGTGTCTTGATGCAAATGGGTAAGGTAGTTGCTTATGCTTCCAGGAGGTTGAAGCCCCACGAGTAGAATTACCCAACACATGACTTGGAATTAGCTGCAGTGATTTTCGCCTTAAAGAAATGGAGACACTACTTGTATGGCGTGACTTTTGAGGTTTATACGGACCATAAGAGCCTCAAGTACTTGTTCTCCCAAAAGGAGCTGAATTTGAGACAGAGGCGATAGGTAGAATTTTTGGAATATTACGATTGCTCGATTAACTACCACCCAGGAAAAGCCAATGTGGTGGCAGATGCTCTAAGTAGAAAGGCCCAAGTAGTAGGGTTAATGGTTAAAGAGTGGGACATGTTAGAAGAAGTAAGTAGTTGGAACCCTCGCTTGGAGAGATTAAAGGTTTTATTTGGGAACTTGTCTTTAAAGTCACCATTATTAGAGCGTATTAAGGAGGCCCAGAAAACGGACCTAGTGCTTCGGAGGAATGCAGAGAAAGTGCAAAAAGGGAAAACCCTAGATTTCAAGGTAGGGTCTGAAGGAGTATTGAGGTTCAGAGATCGAATTGTGGTTCCGGCAAATGAAGAAATAAAGAAAGAAATTTTAGAGGAATCACATCGATCGAGATATACGATACACTCAGGAATGACTAAGATGTACCACAATGTGAAGGGGTTATACTGGTGGGAAGGTCTGAAAAAGGATGTGGCAAAATTTGTACAGAAATGCTTGATCTGCCAACAAGTAAAAGCTGAGCATCAAAAGCCCTCTGGTCTATTGCAACCGTTATAAATCCCTGAATGGAAATGGGAACATATAACAATGGATTTTGTTATAGGATTGCCTAGAAGTCAAAAAGGATTTGATGCAATTTGGGTGTGTGACGACCCCACCTCCCCCTAAGGCGAACCAGAGGGTTCGGCGGGTCGCCTGCCCAGCTCTCGCCGGGACTCAGTCGTTCACTACGGTCCTCAAATAAATTGCAAGATAAATCTCAAATTTACATCCATGGTCCACAAATATACATCCAAGTCTCCAATAATTACATGTCATAAATGCAGCAGAAACAATTTCCAACTATACATAAAATGATTCCACATCCAAACGGTACAAAATATAACAATTCCAACTAAGCCATCCAATCACGTGAATAAGCACAACAAGTCCTTCCTTCGCCTTGAGCCCTGTGGAGGGGAATAAAATATTTTTGGGGTGAGCTAGTGAACGACTGAGTCCCGGCGAGAGCCGGGCAGGCGACCCGCCGAACCCTCTGGTTCGCCTTAGGGGGAGGTGGGGTCGTCACAGTTGGTATCAGAGCTTAGGCTTCAGATCTCTGTAGTGTATCCTAGGCTTGAAGTTTAGGATGCCGGACTGTGGGTTTGGTTTTTAGTGATTCTTGCGGGATGTCTCGACTTGATTGGTACAAGATGGAATGTCGAGGACGACATTCTTTTAAGGAGGGGAGATTGTGACGCCCCGAAAAGTATAAGTGTGAGAACCCGTACTTTTCCCATTTTCTAGGGTTTTATTTATTTAATGGCTTGTTTTCTGCGTTTTCTTTAGTAGGGAAATTTTCTAGATATTTTTAAGGAGCAGATATAGTTTTTGGATGATTTTTCTAGTATCAAATAGGTTTTGAGAAATTAAGAATGTATACCGGATGTGGGACCCACTAGGGCGAAAAGTTCGGAGAAATTCGACCAATTAGGATAAGTTCCGGATACTGGGTGAAATTTATCGGGTGTTAAGAGATAAATAGAGGAGGTGAAGTGATTGATGTGAGAGGGAAAAAGAAGGATAGGAATGCATTAATGAAGTGACAAGTGTCACCTTAAGAGTGGTGGTCACTTATTTGACTTATTTGACTTTTTGACCTTTCTTACCAATTGATTAAATATCTCAAAATTACCACAAAAATCACTTTTTTACTTCACCATTGTGGCCGGCCCTCTCTAGCTAAGAAGAAAGAAAAACTCTCCAAGATTCTTGCTTCCATCTTGCTTGAGTGTAATCATCCAACCATTTGATCTTGTTTCTACTCCATAAAATCTCTCCATTTGGTACTAGAAAGTGATTTGGTGAAGTGTTTAAGGAAGCTAAGGTGTCCAACAACTCTCCCTCTCTTGTCTACTAGGTGAGTGGTGATTGAACTTCCTCCTACACTTAATGAAGCTTAAGTTGTGCTTAATGGTAGCTAAAGTGATGAATTTGTGGTTTATTTCTTGGTTTGAGAGGAATTGGTGAAGTTTTCAATTTATTGATGAATTTTCTGGTTTAATTGTGATCATGATGTTGTGGTTATGTATGATGATTGGAAATGATGTTTAATGACACTATGAGGTGGAAAAAGTGGACAATTGCAATCAATTTCTGTTTTGGAAGGAAAAGTGGAAAACTAGGTTTCAATGTTCTTCATTCTGTCCGAATTTTTAGGTCCTAGATAGAGGCCTAATTGGCCTTGGCTTAAAACATGAAAGTTGTAGGGAATGACATTTTAGAGGTGCCTACAAAATTTCAGGTCAATCGGAGCAGCGTAGCTTGTGAAAAGTCGAAATTACCCTTGCTGTCCTGGTTTTACCCGAATGTAAGCATTGCGCCTGTAATTGGTTGTTTTGGCTGGAATTGCTTCCGAATTGGTTGTTGAGGTCTTCTGATGAAATGTAGCCCTGTTTCTTAGCTTTTATCTGGTTTTGCAATTTCTGGATTTGGACTTGGAGAGCCTGAGTTATGATGTTTCTGCTGGAATGCATTCTGTGAATCTATTTTTGTGATTCTGGTATGGTATCTTGCATTTTTGACCTGGTTACACTCGAAACTGGGTTGAGTGACCTTCTTAAATATTGTACCCCTATCTCTTAGGTTCGAAACGGTGGGTCTTGTACCTTCTTCCGACAATCGTAGCGCCTTTGGTGCCATTACCGCAAAATGACGTCAAAACTGTTTTTCTGGTTTTGAGCTTAACTTTCATTTCCGGACTTTTCCCTAGTTTGACTTGTACTAGTACTACTTGGAGCTTGCTGAATGGCTATTGGATGAACTTGTTGTTGTGTGTGTACCTTTGGGTTGGAATGAGGAAATCATGAAGCCATGACGGCTGGAAAAGTAAGCAAATTTAGGGGAAGTGCTGTCCGAACTTTTAAAGGATTTGTTTGCATTGAGTTTGTGATCTAAAACTTGGATTTGAGTAAGGCAATGTTATATGATGGATGATTTCTGAGCCATGGAGGTGAGTGACCTCAAACTATTTCTAAAGTTATTTATGAACTGTTTCCTGCATTATTTACTTTTGAACTGTTTCCAAAGTTACTTTTGAACTGTTTTCTTGTCTTATTTACTTTTGAACTGTTTCCAAAGTTACTTTTGAACTGTTTTTTTGCATATCATGCGTGCTTACATGTGAGTGTTCCTTGTTTGCTATATTTCCTTGACTTATTGGCTTGTTATTATTGATTGATAATGTGTTAAGTGCTTTCAATGATTGTTAAAACAAGTTTTCTAGGCGAGTGTGTACTTTATCGCACTCGACCTAAATAAATATGAAACTTTCAATGATTAATGATTAAATACTAGTTGCGCATGAATGTAAGCCGTTTGGCTGAACTGGCCACTGCCCTTCGTTACCGATCGACTCGAGCCAGAAGCGGACTCGGTCGGGCGATATGGTGACCCTGGGTGAATTTGGTATACTCGAGTATTACCTTGTAGTCCGGCTACGTCCGGATGGGTGGAGTCCGGCTACGTCCGGATGGGTGGAGACCGGCCAACGTCCGGAAAAAAAAAAGATGAACGAATAAAAAGATGAACGAGGGATTATTTATAAAAAATGAATGTATCCTTTTCATGAATGTTACTATCGCTTTCCATTGTATATGTTTCTTGAATTATTGATACTCCATATTTAATGTTTTGTAAATGCTGTAATCGTTTCTGGACTTATCATGTGATTTATGACATCATTGAAAAGAAATATTGTTAAACCGATTGGATTACTGATTTTTCTGGTTACTCGCTGAGCTTCTAGCTCACCCCAAAAATATTTTATTCCCCTCCGCAGGGCTCGTGGCGAAGGAAGGTTTGTTGTGATTTTATTGTTGTGGAATTCCTCTTGTATAAGAATTGGGATCATGGATCAGACTGGCGCAGTGGAAACGTGGACGCTTCGCTTTTGATATGTAAATGTTGGAACATTTGAGTTATATTTGAGATTTTTACATTGTAATATTTGAGGTTTATTCTTGTAATTCATTTGAGGATTGTAGTGAACGACTGAGTCCCGGCGAGAGCTGGGCAGGCGGCCCGCCGAACCCTCTGGTTCGCCTTAGGGGGAGGTGGGGCTGTCACAGGGTGATAGTTGACCGACTTACTAAGTCCGCACATTTCCTACCCGTAAGCATGAGCTTTTCTTTGGAAAAACTGGTCAAGTTGTACACAGAAGAGATCCTAAGATTACATGGTATCCTGGTAAGTATCGTGTCTGATCGAGACCCAAGATTTGTCTCGCGTTTTTGGCAGAAATTTCAGGAGTCTTTGGGGACCAAATTGAAATTTAGCACTGCGTATCATCCCCAAACCGACGGGCAAACGGAAAGAACAATTCAAACCTTGGAGGATCTACTGAGGTCGTGTATATTGGATTTTGGAGGTAAATGGAGTCAATACATGACCTTAGTAGAATTCGCGTATAATAACAGTTATCAGGCTTCGATTCAAATGGCACCTTATGAAGCTTTGTACGGGAGAAGGTGCCGATCTCCGATTCATTGGGATGAAGTCGGAGAAAAGAAAGTTGTGAATCTAACAGCAATACCTTGGATAGTAGAAGCCCAGGAGAAAGTGAAACTAATTAGAGAAAGGCTTCAAGTTGCCCAGAGTAGACAAAAGAGCTACGCCGACACAAGGAGAAAAGATTTGGAGTTTGAAGTAGGAGACAAGGTTTTCCTAAGAGTTAAACCCTTGAAGAGCGGAGTAGTATCCAAGAAAGGTAAGAAGTTAAAGCCAAGATATATCGGACCTTTCGAAATCTTGAAATGGATCGGGAATGTAGCATATCAGTTGAAATTGCCTGCAAGCATGGCCAAGGTTCACGATATATTTCATGTCTCCATGCTTAGGAAATATTACCCCGACCCAAGCCATGTGCTACAAGTGGAAGGAATTGAGGTAGATGAGACGTTAACCTATGAAGAAGAACCAGTTCAGATATTGGAAAGAGAAGTGAAGGAACTGAGAAATAAGAAAATTCCTCTGGTGAAGATTTTATGGAAGAATCATGGACTCGAGGAAGCCACTTGGGAGTTAGAAGAAGAAATGCAGAAAAAGTACCCCGGTTTATTTCCTTAGAAAGTGTGAATTTTGAGGACAAAATTCACTGTAAGGAGGGAAGGATGTGAGAACCCTGAAAATATATATATATAAAAATCATTGCTTATTTCATTTGCATTTCTTATTCTTTACTAAATTTTAGCACCATTTCTTTTTACTTTATTTATTTATCTATTTGTTCTCATATAAGTGCGTGACCAATATGTTAAGTGAAAAATAATACAATTCCGCTAAACTAATAAACTACTTGGTCTTGTTATGCTAAAATTAATACTTCGAAGGTAAATTATTTCATTGATTTAATAATTAATTTCTTTAAATTCCGATAGCTAAACTTAAATCGTTAATAATGTTAAAGGTTAATAGAAACCTTAGTATTAAGATGCAATCAATAAATTATAGATAAAAATGACACAAGTATACTAAATATACTTAAGACATAAAATTATGATAATTGAAGCCTTGCAAGA